GAGTAATGAATGCACTGAATGAATGTGATGGCATGTACACTGTGCAAGTGTACTTTGCTGTACAAATGTTCTTTTCTTTTCTTTTTCTATTGTTGTTGTCTGGTTCGCATTTGTATTTGCTTTCCAAAAATATAAACACATTGTGTTGATTTATCAGAACCCGATGCTAAATGACACATTTTTGCTGTAGAAATCTATGCAATAGTCTTGTTTAGTTTTAGCATTGTACTGAAGTGCAGTTTTGTATTCTGTAGGTGTCGTTTGATTTTTATGTGCCTTCAAATAAAGGCATTTTAAATATATATTCAAGCTGTGCCCTGGTTATTAGTTATTTTAAGTTTGAACAATTTGTTCAGTAAATCATAGATTAACGTGTTTTAAGATTGAAGCTGATCTCCAAGAAAAGCCCTTAAGGTTGTGTTTTGGTTAAAGTCGTTTTATATAAAGATATTGGTGGTAACCTAAATAGTTACAAATAAATCAATCACAGAAAAACATTCATCAACAGAAAATGTTCATCATCATTGCATGCCATGTTTTTCATGCATCAAATACAGAAACGTAATATTAATTCACAACAGTATAACACTAAAAAGGTGGTAGAAATTGATTATATGAAAATATCATCTTAGCTGTGATAGCATAATAAACTCCAGCTTCTGAACAACTAACCTGCATCTAAACCAAGCCTAGACATCTGATCCAGTCAAGATGGACGTGAAGGATATTTTGATAAGATATGATGCTCAGTTCAACTGCAGCCAAAGGATGTTGAGGGCCATGTTTCAAAACCTCAAACAGGACTGAGAGCAGAGCAATTGTAAGCGTGCACTTATAATAATTGAAACGCTGACATGAAACTTAATAGTGGATTGCTGTTTTATAAGAGGGTTTCAGTTACAGAACAGTGACCCTCCATTATTACTAATTACGTTGTCCATGTTGGACAGATCGCAAAGAAAAAAATTAGCACATATTTACTGCTTGGTTTGATCGTGCTGTAAATCAACATTTTTTAGTTAATCTGTCCTCTATGGGAAATGTAAAAAGAAATTTTAATATAGCACCAAACTCAAAATGCTTTCTGCAAGCCTTAATGATAAAAAACCACACGATATCTGCCATTTACTGTAAGTAACAGAAAGTGATCCAATCAAGTATAATAAAATGTTTTTTATAACTAATAAAATAATAAATAATTAAAATTGATTATAATATGAAAATAAATTTGTTATGATATGACCAATAACTTTTTAAAGATATGTATTTTTTAGAAAATTATTTTTTAGAAAAATGACGTTGGTAACAAGTACATGTGTGCTTTTCAGAAATGAACTGAAAATGTAATTCTGGTCCAGTCGAAATTAACTGAAAGGAATTTGAATTGAGGTAGCAAATAGGATGAATTTAAATTTCAGAAATTTGAATATTGAATGGAAGTGGTATTAAAATAATTGGAATTCAAAGAAGTTCATATGACTGCAATGTTTAAATAGAAATGCTAAGTAAGTGAAGACACACTTGTTCACTATAAGGCTGCTTTTATTTGATCAAAAATACTGTGAAAACAGTAATATTATGATAACATTAGAATTTAAAATAACTTTCCAAATGATCAACATTGAAAATTGTTGTGCTGCTATAATATTTCTGTGTAAACCATAAGGATGATGAATATAAAGTTCAAATGAACAGCAATTAGTTAAAGTAGTAATCTTGTGTTGCATTCTAAATGTCAATTGAATGCATTCTTGTTGAATAAAAGTATTAATTTCATTCAAAAAAGCCAAAAGTTTTAAGCCATTAACTCCAAAGGATTTATAGTTTTTTTCTTTTCTTTTTCAGTTTTAGTATTTATGCATTGCCTGTGTTTTTTTTTTAATTGCAAGTAAATTTCTATTTAAATTACAATTGAACTTCCTGTGGTGTGTGGCCAGTTCAATTCAATTTCTAACTAAATGTCACCCACATTTTAGCAGGCCACTTGTGTACAGTAGCGTGTTTAGGCACCACGCAACCCACGCAATTGCATGGGCCCCCGCGGAACGCGAACCGGTGTTCTGACAAATAATGCTACCAATCAGATTATGCTACCAGCACTGTATTTATCCTACTGTAAGGGTAGGTTTAGGGTTGGGGTAGGTGTACATGTTAATAAAGCCTCACACCTTATTAATATCATGCTGGAAGCAAAATCTGATAGGTACAAACTCTGCAGGACACCGGCCCTCCAGGATCAAGTTTGGTGACCCCTGGTCTACACCTACCACAACCCTAAACCTACCCTTACAGTAATGCAAATACAGTAATTATGTGTTATATTCGAGGTTGTAGCTAGAAGGGATAATTTTTTCTACCTATTAGATTGTGTTTTATTAAAGTCTACACCTACCACAACCCTAAACCTGCCCTTACAGTGATGCAGATACACTAAATATTGTTGTTCAGCATGAGAAAAAGGACGCGATATTGATGTGCGCATGCGCAGTAAACCCTGGTAGGACAATCTGACGGGTAGGATAAAATGTCAGGACACCTGGCGCGGGTAAAATAATTGTAATGCTGAAGGTGAGGTAGAATTCATATTTCTTCATTAAATAACTTACAAAATAATTTGAAAACTTTCTGTGAGGCGTAATTTTACAAACAGCACGAGTTCTCCGCGAGCTGACTTTCCCTCTCAAAATGCGCAAAAAATAAAAATTATAAATATAAATAAAAATCGCTAGAGACACCAGAATTCTTTATTACATTCTGTTGTGCTCCTATGCACATGATGTTCAAATATGTTGTGCTATAGTATGCTGAGTAAATCTCTCTCTCTCTCTCTCTCTCTCTCTCTTTCTGAAGGGCCTTTTTTATTTAAAAAATGTGCTTTATGTGACTTTTTCTGTTTGCTTGGAGGCATTTGTAAACTGCAGTAATAAGATAACTTGAAATTCTCAACATCTTTTTACATCATTTATCGTATTGTATCGCATTGGTATCGATAAAATGTAAACGATACCCATCCCTACCCCGGAATTGATCGCAAAATCCACCGAGGGGGGCCCCACCCAGGACACTTGCCAAGGGCCCCCAAAACACTAAACACACCCCTGCTTGTGTAATAGTGTGCTGATTACCTAGTGTGCGTTGTTTTGTAAATACCCATCCAACCTTTAATACCGGCCTCCTTCTCTGATGCTGCTAATCACTGCTGCCCTGAACTAGGGCTGAAATTGAGTTTCAACACAGTGCTGATAGACATAGATATGGGTGTTACAACCTCTTTGTGACATAACGCTGTCCTAATTTGTGCAGCGTTGACAGAAATCCACTGAAAAGGTAGATCAGTTGCATGCACTGAAGCCCGTATCACATTTAATAACTGGTCGACACAGGTCAAATCATGATGAACACACTGATATGGGAAGTTCTTGGCTTTTCAGTCATGTCTGTGATCATGGTAGACCTGCCGGTTCCCAGGTATGGTCTCCACAGTCTGAACTGGCAGGAAAAGGCCCAGAGCCCAACGGGAACCGAAAACATCAGTCAGGTTGGCAAGCCAGGTCCCACGACTCTCTGACAGCTGCCCTTTCTGCAGCTCGCACCAGGTCTGCCCTCGGGCTACTAGTAGAAGCTGCTGACAGCAGAAACCGGCGCTAACCAGTCCGATACCCAGCCAGACATACAGCATTATAACCAGAAAGAACTGGAGACCTGAAATCAAACCTGAGGGGAGAAAAGAAAGAATGTTCTTATCAAGGATATTTGAAGTAGGAAAGCCTCAAGAAAACAAAATTAAACCTACCAAGGAAGAAGTAACCTGTCGAGAGCGGTAGAAGAGTGAGGAACGTCAGTGGGTTCTCAAAGGAAATGGAGTATTCCATTGTAAGATACGCCACCCCGACTACCAACGAATACAGACAACAGCAGGACGTATAGATGCTGAACATAATAAAGTAGCGCATGTTCCTATTCCCGATGCAGTTTCCTGTGAAAAAGCAGTGGTGGTCCCGTTTTAGAATCACTTTCTTACACACTTTACAGAAGTGGCGTCCATTCAGGAGGTAGTGGGCGTCAATTCGGTCCGGGCAGTCGGGTGAACAGACTGGAATTACTGTCTCGTTGGCACTCTCAGATGGGTACCATATAGTCATTGTGTAATTACCCAATGCGTTCCCCATGAGGAAGAGAAAGACAGTGATGTGGACCAGCATGGTGGGATTTAGCGCTACATCTGGACTTCGGAAAACAGTGGGCATGAAGAGGAGGAAGTGGAGGGCGAATGTGACCACGGTTGCAGTGTAGAAGTATGCAGGTGCAATCGTGTTGAGTAGTCTGAGTTTTACCATCCTGAACAACATGCCTGTGTTAGATTAATGAAACAGAAGCTTGATGATGATATTGCTGGGTTATTACCTGACGCCGGCTAGACCAGAAGAGCCGCTGTATCATCCCTCACTCACGCTGCTAGGAGATTAGCCTATAATTCATTAAGAAAAAGCAAATCAGTTATAATTTCGTAATACTGAGCGCATCTGTTCGCGACGTGTCTCAGTAGTTTAGCGCCGCCTGCTGGTGTGGATTCAGCATCCAGCTCCTTTGGAAATAAGAAAAACAGTCAAACCTATATAGCTACACTCGTTATGGATATGTTTAGGTGTTTATTCATTATTCTGTATTACTATGTGAGTTTATATAAATATTTTATATATGTATGCCGCTGAATAATACTGTTTTCCACACAATGTGCACTTACAACGTTCACCAACAGATGGCAGTGCAAATCAATTCTTATTTTAAGCAGATACGTTTATTTAATTATTTCTGCGGCGTTTGATTCATGTAAAACCATGCCTTAAGACTTAAAACTAGCATTTTAAGATGTGGTTCATGCCAACAAGCTGGTGTCTGTGATACGCAGAGACACAAAGTCAAAAGTTTTTCGTTTTCGTGTTTGGTGAAGGCGTGTCTCTTTCCACACGGTCCCTGAGCGGATGGGCGCTCCCCGTGTGCGCTGGTGCTGATGCAGACAGACAGAAGCATCCTGCCGGACATAAACCACAGGACGTGTTTGAAAGGTAAGCCGCACTATTGTTATATTCACCTCGCTTCTGATGAACTATTCTCAATTGTATCGTACAGGAAAGGATTCAACAAACGACTCAATGATTCATTCCGAACTTCAACGGCTTTTAAAAGTGGGCGTTTTGATATCACAGTTATAGACAATGCGTTTAAAACGCTATTGCTGCAGAGACCTAGGCTATGCTTGGGTGCTAAACACAGAGGAGGGGTGATACTTAAATAATTGAACTGCTTGAGGTGTCTGGAAATACTATGGGCATATTGATGGCATAAGAATGGTTTTGCTTTGGCTTGTTTGTTTACCGTCTCATGTACAACATCTCCAGGAGCCCCGCTGTTTTATTGAGCCAGGGGAGTGCGATTGTGAGATCCTAATATTATCTTTTTAAAGTTATGGTTGCTGTGCTGCTGCTGCTGCTGATAATGGCTGTATTAGTCCTCACATGCTGACAGCTGGGAGTTTAATGTCTGGATAATGTATTGAATGGGGATCAAGTCAAAGCTGCGCGTTACAAATCAGAGGATGGGGGCGGATAGATTTCTCCACGCTGTTGCCAAGAAGCTGTGATGATGCTCAAGCAGATAATCATAATAGCTTTCACAATTAGAAATGTAGTCTCTAATCATCCCTTTGAGAATCAAACATTACTTTAACAGGTAGAGGGGGAAACTCACAAACCTGCCAGGGACATGTGCTGGTTATATCAACACAAAAACACTGCCTTATAGTCATGAAAATCTAATGAGAGTAATCACTGTGATTAAAAGGAATTTGTTAAAAATAGCCTACTTTATAAAATGTCCAAATGCAATGGACCATCCAAAAGTTTGGGGAGGAAGTGTGCTTCATTGTTATGAAAGTGATGTTATTTCAAAAAAATAGTCTTCATTTACTACAACATTTATTTATTTGTTTGTTATTATGGATTTTTGAAATGGACATATTGTTCATTTCAACTCCAACTGTGCAACCATAAAGAATTCATGGATGCATAATAACATATTGTAACATTGTGTTATCAGGAGGTTTTTCAGTACCCAGCATGCTTTGCGTGAGCCTAAAGGGCATGAATAAAAGTAGACAGTTGAGTGTTATTCTTTGTGTTTTTGAGCGATATGAACAGGGGAAATGTGTGACTGCTTAATGTTCTGTTATGCCACCATTTAGAAAGGATTCTGTTTTTTATTGTGTTTGTTATTGTGGTGAAGAGTGAAGTTTGTGCTCTGTTCAGAGAGAACTAATGTATGCTAACACTGGCTTTTCTTAGTAAAACAAGGTCTCCTCTGCCTTGTACCACCCACCTGCATCCTTGGCTACAATATCTGCTAATCTAACAGGACAAACCAGTATAATCATGCTGTTCACCAGCAAAAAATTTGGCGGTTCTGCTAATGAAACAGCAGGTTGTTGCTGGTTAAGCCAGTCAGCTAATGTGATTCTTCGGCTTTATTCCATGTGCTAACCAGGTGTGACACAGCAGTCTTCAGTGCAAATCAGATCTTTTATCAAATCAATTTTTGTGCCACGACAACAAAACGTCTATAAAAAAATGAAGCAATAAAAAGGTGCAAACAAACCTGCACACCAAAATCAAAACCCTATGCTAGTATTGATTACCTTTAAAATAGCAAACCACCTCATCACCAGTTATACTTTATACTCTGACAAGCTAACATAAGATTTTAAGCCTCTGTGGCATTTGTAAGACTTGTCATGCTTTCGGAAAGAAGTAATCTCTAAATCAGTGGTTCCCCCATGCACCGAGCAATAAATGCCTGACACTTCATCAATGGCCAGTGTCCATCTGACTATTAAAGGGGTCATATGATGCGATTTCAAGTTTTCCTTTCTCTTTGGACTGTTACAAGCTGATTGTGCATAGATAAGATCCCTGAAGTTGCAAAAAAAAATGAAGCAATAAAAAGGTGCAAACAAACCTGCACACCAAAATCAAAACCCTATGCTAGTATTGATTACCTTTAAAATAGCAAACCACCTCATCACCAGTTATACTTTATACTCTGACAAGCTAACATAAGATTTTAAGCCTCTGTGGCATTTGTAAGACTTGTCATGCTTTCGGAAAGAAGTAATCTCTAAATCAGTGGTTCCCCCATGCACCGAACAATAAATGCCTGACATTTGCGGTCTTCATCAATGGCCAGTGTCCATCTGACTATTAAGGATAAGACACAGTTATGGCACCAGTCACCAGTCAGATTTTCCATCTGCTTTACATATAAATGGAGCATCTTTGAATGATATTCAGCGATGCATGATTACCAAACTTACTGTATAAAGCAATTAATAGTAGTCGAAATGTCACTGCACTTGCTGACAGAATGTTGGTTGAAGCTCATAATTGGATCATGAATAAATCATCAGAATGAACACCTGCTCTTGGCTGATGTCTCTTTCGGCTCCCATTCCTTACTATTCTCATTAAAGAAGAAATATTAGTGGCACCTTGCTGGAATTGGTTTTTGGTTTGCCAGTTGCATCAGAGGGGTGAAAACTTTTGACTCTTATATACCGTAGCCCATGGTGAATCTCTCAAAGTCTCCTTTCTGTGTTTCATTTTCATGTTTCATGTTTGTTTGGTTTCTACTTTATCAACAAATACTTTATATATGTGTGTGTTCATGTGTGTGTGTGTGTGTGTGTGTGTGCGTTCATATTAGTATAAAGCAATTAATAGTAGTCGAAATGTCACTGCACTTGTGACAGAATGTTGGTTGAAGCTCATAATTGGATCATGAATAAATCATCAGAATGAACACCTGCTCTTGGCTGATGTCTCTTTCGGCTCCCATTCCTTACTATTCTCATTAAAGAAGAAATATTAGTGGCACCTTGCTGGAATTGGTTTTTGGTTTGCCAGTTGCATCAGAGGGGTGAAAACTTTTGACTCTTATATACCGTAGCGCATGGTGAATCTCTCAAAGTCTCCTTTCTGTGTTTCATTTTCATGTTCCATGTTTGTTTGGTTTCTACTTTATCAACAAATACTTTATATATGTGTGTGTGTGTGTGCGTTCATATTAATATTAAACCAAGTACATTAAAGTCTTATCATGTGAATGTTTTTCAACATTTTTACATTTCAATACAATTGCTATAATACAGTAAAAAGACATATTTAAAAGCTTTTATTCTTTGTAAACAGCATAGATAGCATGAAAGTTGCAAACAAAGAGATGCACCTTTCATTTAATCAAGTGCTCACTAAAACATTGTGTGTGTTCGTTCATGTGTTCGTGTGTGTGTGTGTGTTCATGTGTGTGTGTGTGTGTGTGTGTGTGTGTTCGTTCATGTGTTCGTGTGTGTGTGTGTGTTCATGTGTGTGTGTGTGTGTGTGTGTGTGTGTGCGTTCATATTAATATTAAACCAAGTCCATTAAAGTCTTATCGTGTGAATGTTTTTCAACATTTTTTACATTTCAATACAATTGCTATAATACAGTAAAAAGACATATTTAAAAGCTTTTATTCTTTGTAAACAGCATAGATAGCATGAAAGTTGCAAACAAAGAGATGCACCTTTCATTTAATCAAGTGCTCACTAAAACATCTCACTTATATATCAAGTTAATTTCTTTTCAGACATGACTGAAAGTTGTGTTGTCCAAGATGTGTTGTACAAGTGGATCAGTTCCTAAAGGGATAGTTCATCATGTCATTTTTATTCATCTTGATGTCTTTCCAAACCCGTATGACTCTTAATATATCTGTGATATATCATAACAATATTATGATCATTTAGAAAATAATTCTGTACAGTGGCAGAACATGAAATAAAGCACCAGCAGTGTCACCAAAATAGTAAGTGACACTAAAAAAAGTACATGCAACTTGCTGAAGATTTCCCAAGTGCCAAAACAACCCAATATTTAGGTGGCAGAAATGCACCATTCTTATTCTTTTTCTGCCATTTTTAATGCTGGTTGAAAAAAACCAAGGCAAAAATATGCATTTCTGCTAAGTTTACATAACATATAAACCGTAATTTTAAAAGAATATGTTTATGATGGTAGTCATGTTAGACTAGAATGCATTAGTATCTCTATTCCATGAGCTTTAGAAGAAATATAGAGCAAACCGTAATAGCAATCTATAAAACATCATAAACTATAACACTCCAAAAAGACAACAAATAGCTCAGTAAAATCTATGATGTGTTTATAAATTAGTAAATGCATTTACTACCATGATTAAGCATTTTACTAATGGTCTAAACAGCACGACACTACCGGCTTCAATTCTGGACTTCATTCCACATCAATGACAAATATGAATCATAAACATATTTACCTCATTAATACAATGTGAGGGAGGAGGCAGATGTGAGTAGACGTTCACAAAAAATGAATACCTCTTTGAAAACAGCTGTTGGGAATCGTGCCAAAACCATTCGTTTAGCCAGCAGGTGTGACTACATCACGAGAGGCTTGAAACAAACCTTATTTTAGTTCATAATGTGCTTTCCCAGAGTTTGTAGACATGCTGCTTAGTCATTTTCCGAGACTGCTGCTTTCTCTCCAGTGGCTCGGTGATCAAAAGCTTGTAATACATTCCTGAGAACACACAACAAATAATCCTCGGTAAAATGTGTATTTGGCATCTCTACGCAGCACAGGCATGAATATTTAATGGTGCACTTGGCTGAGATTGAAAGTTGATACATCCCTCTGCAGTACACCAAGAGCCACAGAGGCTGGAGCGTGAGCTATAGAAAGTTCACATAGGTAGTGGTTGGATATGGATAGATGGAGCTGTTCATCTTCCGTAGATTCCCTTTTGCATCATGACATCCAACAGCTGGCACGTAGACAGTTTCTGGCCTTGTTTGTCAGTACTTTGTCATCATCTGCGTGATTTGTTGTGTAAGGACCACATACGGGTTTGTTTTTAATATTATCTTTGGTGCAATATTGTCTCGTTCATACACCCACACACATACACAAAAAGATTGAGGCTGGCACCTGAGGCCTTC